ATAAAACTTGTGTTACTTTGGAATCGTGTGTGTGTGTGTGTGTATAAAACAAAACCGAGCCAGTTGAATGGAACAGCATATTGGTCTGGGCCGGGCATGCATAATTATTATTTTTCGTAGAAAAATCTCGTTCATTTTATTTTTAACGGAACAATAAAAACAAAAGATTTTAAACAACACTGAATATAATCAATTTATTTTAAGCTCATTTGAAAAGGCTCAGTGCATATCACTTTTTTACCTTTTTTTTTCTCTTACACGGCGGCAAAATTGAAAACTACGGTAGCCACGTGCAGTGTGTCGATGGCCACGTGGTTGACCTACACGATTCTGTTATGACAAGGTGTTTATTTTATTTCTTAATTTATTTTAGTGTTTTGTCTTCCTTTCTATTATCAAAAACAGGAGAATAATATTTTTATAGGGTATCACTCAAATGAGTGGGACTGAATGAAAGTAGAAAGTAACGAGAATAAATGTGAATTATTTAAATTTTCAATATACAGAAAAATAAAGGCAAACATTATAGGACCAGTAAGTCAATATATCAATTTTTTACCTAATCGTATTATTTTTTTTACCGAAATATAAATAAAATGAACTAAAATAGACGTATTTTTCACTCATAAAACATAGTCCATAGTGCACTAGTTCTCCATATAATTGTTCTTACACACACACACACAGCAGTACGCGCGTGAATATTCTGATATTAGAAAAAGTGACAACTCACTTGTCAGAGACAACATTGTAATTTTTGTAATTCAAATTGCATGATTAATTTCTAAGCGTAAGATATTTTCTCTCTCTTTATAAATACTTGTGTTTAATTAAAAATATATTTCGATAAAAACGATGTACTAACAAAAAAAATAAATAAATATAAATTTCGGGCCTTAAACTTTAACCGTTACATAAATAAATTAAATAAACAAATGGCTTAGTTCGCAAAGGTTATTTTGTGAATGGAAATGTCAAGAATCTGAATTACAACCAAGCAGGCTTCACCCAGATTTAAATACTTAACAAATTTGAGTGAAGCCTGCTTGCTAGTTGTTTATTTCCGGTTGGCTACAATCGTTCGTTTCCAAGTTACGATTAAAATTTTGCATGCTGATTTTCATGAGACGAACCCTTCTGAACTTGAAAGATATGCGCAACACATCTTTCACACCTCATGAGATTATTTGTCCAACAAAGTGCATCTTAGTAAATACCCATAAGGTGAAAACACTGAGTGAAAAGCAATAGGGTCACATTTCCGATCGTAATGGTTTTCGTTTTATTTTCGTTGTTTTAGTGAATAATTTTATCTAATTTTAGTTTGAATTCATGTGTACAATTTAAATGTCATAATAATACATATTCTATTATTCATCCAATTAATCTTCTTAATTATTTGTGCAGTCGAGATTTATACCCACACTCTGTTCACTCACTTCGGTTTCTTTGCGACAGCAAACCTAACTCACTCAGTCCTCACATAATTTTTGTTTTGTCCTCCCTGAAACTGATATAATCCCATAAAAGTCCAAAGTTAATCATGAGAGGATGCTGAAATGTTCTCAGCCCGACCAAGAAGCCCTTCCAACGAAGAAAATGTTTGTTATTTGATCAGATTTCGTGAAATATGGTTCGGGCCGAGAACATTTCAGCATTCTGTTGTATTAACTTCGGACGTCTGAAGTCACTTGTGGGTTGTTTTTTTTTTTTAATTTTAATATCGTTTGAACAAACTAACACTTGTTTCTAAAAAAAATATATGAAAATTAATTTTAAAGTTTTCACCTAATTTGCTGTCATTGTTATCCATGTTTGCACAATTTCTAAATTTTACTGATTTAGTACTATCATTATCAGGTTGTTAATAATCCTTAAAGGCTAAACCCACTTGTTACTATTTCATAAGCATTAAAAAATTTTAAAAAATACTTGTTTTCATTAATTTATTTTTGTCTTACTCTTATACCGAGCAGGTAGATTTAAAAATACTTTAAAAAAAAGGAATTTATATACTCACCTTCGTTATTTTTATACTAGCGCATTCTGGTACTACACATTATCTTTAGAAAGCAAAATTTTGATAAATAGTAGGAGTGAAGTTTCCTGAAAAAGCGATCATTTTCTCTAATTCCTGGGATTTGCATACTTTCTTCTTTAACAATTTTTTTTTATCATTTGTATTCTGAATTATGCCACCATGGATAAGTTCTACTTTAGTTTATGCTTTAATTTTGTGAAGTGAAGTTTTCATCCAAAATAATACTATTTCATCAACGATATTATTATTATCTTTACACTAGTTCCACCTTTACCACTGTTTGTATTTTGGTAACATACAACTAAGAATATGCTTGTTAAAACTACATGTGTGTGCGAAAATAAATGAATAAATCTAACGTTAGTTTTGCTTGGCATTTTTAGTTTTCACTTAGTTCAGTGAATCATAATTTGGCGATCCCTTATGCAGATTGCATAAGGTATTGCAAAATAAATTTCATTTCAATATGAATTGAAACGATGTTTTACTTTTTTTGTATTATTTGATTTTTGATTTTCGCGGTGGTGGGACAACACTAACAGTCACAACACTAACAGCAGTGTTATGTTATTGTTACACGTCTGCTTCGTCCTTTGGTTTATTTTTAAAGAAAAAATATCCAAGATAATCGAATCGATATGCAAAACAAAAAACAAAAAAAAAACGTATCATTGGACGTTGGACAGAAATGTAACCAATTTGACTGATAAATTTCAAGCTGCAATTTTCCAGGGTTTCGTTTAACTGCATTATTTTTTACAGACTCTTGAATGAAATTTGTTGTTTTTTGGGGGTTTTTTTTCTCTACTTACACCACTTGTTTTTTTTTAACAGAATCACCCCATTCATTATTTATTATTATTATTGTAATTTCTTTTTTGTGGATGGGGGAAATTACAGATATTCAATATCCCAACTTCGATTCAACTTATCCATACTTCCTGCGGTTAAAAGAGACCAGATGTCATAAAACGCATTAGTAGCCTTAGTTAGTTTGAGATGAATGAAAATAACTTGACAGTTCCTAACAAGAGGGATGGGACGATAACCACCAAATGCGAAGACGATCTTGACGGAGTTGTAATAGTATGGGAATCGAGCTTGATCTTTGCTCGTATTTGTAGTAGTAGTTAAAAAAAAAAAAAAAAAAAAAGCAATAGACACAAATTGAGAAAACTGAATGACTGACAAGGACGCAAAAATGGACATCATGAAATAGCGAAGGAACGAAAGCTGTGAATAAATAACAGAAGGATAGAAAAACACAGGCTTTTTAAGTCTTCTTAATCAGCCATTGTTCACTTAAAAATAAAAGAGTAGCAGTTCCGTGACGTGGTCAAATGAATGAGCGAGACTAATTATTTACATAGCCTCTGCAGGCATGACAGGGAATGAAATTTGCAATCTATTATGTTTTAAATATTTTTTAACTAATAAAATAAGTCGCGCTCTCAGTTCATTTCACAAGTGATAAGACCAAGAGTTCTTGGCATATAGAAAACATTAAAAACGATAAGCTATTTTTTTCGATTAGTGTTACTTGTAGCGGTAAGTATTGTAATTGTTTCCTGTGTGTACGGTAATCGAAATGAATAGCAATTAAGGTTAAAAATGTTAGGGTGTCTAAAACCAAATGATTATTTTTTTATATTTAGAATGACTATATTGTAAAAAAAAAATAACTTTAATTTTAAATAGCATATCTTTTAAGCGAGATTTAAAATGACTTTCTTTTTTTTAGTTTTTACGTTTTGTTTCTGCCATTACTCAGCAGGATGTTTAATAAATGAAAGGAATGAATGAATCAAAAGAAGTGAAGGGAGAAAAGAAGGAATAAAGCGTTTCGTAGAAACTATCTAAACCAAAACAAACATGCAAATTAAATGTGTGTATTGTGTATGTACATACAATAATGGCATTGTAAGTATTTCTTCAAATCTGTGCAAAATCTGAACGACGAAAAAAAAGTAATTGTTTCATGAATTTTAAAGGATTCTTTTCATTCAAACAAAAAAAGTATAAAATTATGACTTTTTAAAGTTTTATTTTTTAAAACTGTTCATGTTTACTTTCTGTGATTATAACTTTTATTCTTAATTTATCTGTGTATATCGAGAAAAAAAAAGTCAAGCAAAAAAATAAAAGTGAAAACCAGGTGTAAAAGTGAACGAGAGAGAAAAGAAAAAACGTGTACAAGAATAGAAAACGAAACGTCGTTCATTGCTACACTCTGATAAAACGATCAGCTTGGCTCCGGACAAGAGTGGTCAGCACCAAAACCTGGTCTGTAGACTTGTCTATCAACGGACCCGTATCTGTTGTAATCCTTGCCGTCTAAAACACTTGGGTCGACCGCCGACACACAACATGCCAGACTGCCTATATGTCACACAGTAAAAACAAGCTCCCTTCCTTCTTCATACTGCTTCCTCTCATTTCTTAGCAATATTGTTATTATACTGCTACTGTATATACAATATTACTACTACTATACTACAACTACTTCTACAACATAATGAACACTAGTAATGAAAGCTTCGGTTTGGTTATATTATCAAGAATCGTAAGAAAATGTAAATGAAAATACGATAAAATAGAATTCGAGTATCGTTCAATTCTGCATGGACCAAGTTAAATAAAACAATATCTAAATCAATAGTCAATTTCAATACACACACACACACACACACACACGCTCCAGTACAGCATTGCCTCCCCGCGTCAGATCCATACATTTGTGTTTTCACCAGATCTACCTCTCTCTTTTTATTTCTTACTTCTTTCATTTCAAGGACTCTTCAAATCTCTTTTTAAATTCTTCCATTTTTTAAAATCTTTTTTGCTTTATCTTGTTCTGAAATTCTTATTTTCAATCTTGGCTACATGTACAATAAAACATTAATCCAGGTATCTCTTTCTCCCTTGCTTGCTTTTTTGCTTGCAGCACTTTTTCATTGGCATGGTTGTCTCTTCTTTTTACTTTAAACCTCTTATCATCCCTCTCTCTCTCTCTTCTCGTTTCTCTCTCTCCGGGCAAAGAGAAGGAAAAGTGGAGGCGGAGGCAGATGAACTGATGATGCTGCACTGGTCAATAAAAGAAAATACGGTCAGCTCAGCAACTGCCACCACCGCGACCACTGTCCAGCAGCTCCATCCTTACTGCAGCCATGCCACCCCTTTCTCATTCTTCAACACTTCTTTCCTATTTCTTCATTTCTTTGGACCTTTCATCATCATCATCATCATCGTTGCTGAGTGGTTCTCCTTGACCACTCGCCATTCCTCCTTTTTTCAGGACAACTTCGGCCATCTATATGACCCTTCCCTTACTTCGCTCTCCTGCAACTTCTTCATTTTACTGCCTCCTACTGCTTCTGTTTTCTTTCCTCCACCCCACCCCCATTTTGACCCCCTCCTACTACTCCTCCACTCCGCAAAACGGCCACTACTAGCCACTGCTAAAACTCCACAATGACCACTACCGTCAACTACACGGCCAATTCTACAGACAAACGGCGGCACAAGACGGCTTCTTCTTTCTCTTCTTCTTCTTCACAAAATAAACACCAACGCAGCAGAGGATAAAAAGTTTTTCTAAAAGACAAACAAAAATAGCAACAACAAAAGCAAAAAAAAAAAAAAAAAAAAAAAAAAAGAAATTGCCCCGGCGTCTGTGGAGTTTCTGTTGTGTCATGTCGTGTTGCAATAATTTTGGCTCTTGTTCTTACTTGTAACCCCCTTGTCGCTGCCATCGTCATCTTCGTTACTACTGTTTACATATCATCTTTTTACATCCTGAGACCACTGTTGACTCTTGCAGCAGAAATATAACCACCTCCACTTTTAACATTACATTACCGACACAACCAACCCCTAAACTTCATCGGCCACCAACATCACTGGCCCCTTCCAGCAATAATGCAATGACCGTGACCACCTCCATGACAGTCACCCTGCAGTAGAACCCCACTTTTTTAATCTTGGTTATAGTTACCATTACCCACCAGGACCTACCATTATAGATACATGTGACCCCTGACAAATCACACCAATGGTAGCCATGATACCACAGACAGGAGTAACTTGTTAAAAATATACTGCAAACAAAAAACTTTTGCACATCATACATATATTGATATAGGTATACATATCCATGTTGCATATGTGCAAACTTGTGAATGTGCTGTTTCAAGTAGTTATCGAAACGTAACCAGTTGTACTGACCAAAAACCAACACACTAACTTCTGCAACTGTCTCAAAGGTGAACGAATAGGGTGCATTAAGTTGTGCTATGTACATATACATACAATTTGATAACTTTAACTTTAGTATCAAATAATTTAGCCTGAATAGAATCGGAATAAATTAACACCGAATTTAATGGTCGGTTACAGTAATTAATAAGTGACATGAGCTCACTATTATAAACTTTTTTAAGCGCACATTTTTAAAGAATCCTTTCATTAGCCTAAAATACGCGTAAGTACATATAAATGCATACACACATTTTAGGACCTACTCGTCAAATAGGATGTATGTACGCAAAATATGTACGTAAATATATGCATGCAAACATGCAAACGTCTTGACATATTTGAATCACACAAAAAAACATACATAGACTCACACAAAGCCAAAAACTATGTGTAGATTTTAATTTTACACACATTCCTCCATATGCGCTTGCATATTAAGGACCATCCAGCAGGAAACACGCACACACGTTTACATGTATACTTTAAGGAATCTACTTGGTACATTTTATTAAAATCAATAAATACTGTTATCGATTTATTGAAAAAGTGGAAATACCTGCATATCCACCCACGCACATACACACGTATTTGAGATATCAGATATTTTTAACAACTTCGAAATGAAAATATGAAATTTTGCTCACTTCGAAGGATTCGACCCATTCATTTATAAAACATTGATTTTATGTGCACTTGGTGGAACTTTCATGCCCACTTCGTGTTATAATCTCAGTACGTGCTTCTATATGAAGTTAAATCTTGCTTGTGCATGTAAAACCGTACATGAATGTACAAACTTGTATACACCCCACCCAAGCATCGACGTTAGGGTACCAATATCGCTATTAACAACAACACCTGCAACTGCTCTGCAATGACCAACATTAATTCTAATTGATTGGCACCACTGCTACCTTTACCTTTTTTACTGCCTAATAATTTACTATTGCTTGCTACTATTGCACATGTCATAATTACTATGAGACGACTTGTATTGACACAATCATTTCCACTGATTGTCGTATAATTAATTATTCCGTACACTACCACCATAATAATTTCTTTATTGCTTCTTTCATTTACAACATGGTTTTTAATAGACACGACTAACACAACTACTATTAGCGATTACTACTAATAATTATTCTAATCTGCACGCTACGTGGACTTCTGCAAGCACAAAAGCAAGTTAAAAGAACATCACATTCCTGTCAGCCTTCTATACCGCACCCTAGAAGACCAACAAACTCCTCACACTCACCACAGCGGCTCCAATGTTATTATTGTTGTTTTTGATGTTGTTATTTGCACTATGAAAAATTTGTCCGAGGAATACGACAGCTTGGTGGAAGTCAACAACCTTCAACGGTACGTACCAAAATTTACATACATACATACATACACAAACACACACGCGCGCACATACATACATACATACATACATATTATGTATGTATGTATGTATGTATATGTACGGAGAGATGAGAAAAGTTTTCGGTCCAACCCACTTCCCCCACAAAAAAAAAAAAAAATCATTATCCTGATGTTTGCTCATTAAATACTGAAGTAGTGGGTTGGGTCATTAAATATATATGTGTGTGTGTGTGTTCCTTTTCCAATAACGTAATATGCATACATATCCACGTACATCACAGCATAGTGGTTGAGTGGGCTGGTCTTATAAGCCATTGATGAAGAGTTTAAACTTCACTAATCATTTCACGTGGACAAGTGTCAGATGAAGTTAAGCTGCGTTGTATAAATTTTGTATCCTATTTTTAAATTTATAAAAACTGTAAGATATTTAAAATGCATTTTTATTTTTATTTTTTTAAATTCTCTCAACTATTTTCTTCCTTAAAGTTATACTTTTTAAAAAATGTGTATTTTAGATACTAAAAGTGAATGACTGCAAGTATTTATTTACTAGAAAAACCTCTTCCGCTTTCCCGCTATCAGTGTTTCTAATTTCTGAATAGTCTTTACGTTTAAAGTTTATTTGATAATTACACAAAAAATGTCACTTTAAGCAAATACATACGAACAAGAACACAACACTGAGACTATCTATATGTGCTATATCCGTAAAATACCGTGATATGCGTATCTATATTTTATAGTACAATGTACATGTCATAGTTACTATTCATTATAATAGTACACATAATTACGATAAGGAACTTCTTACTTTATTACATAACTGTAAGTGATTACTGACATTTTTAGTTGTATGAACACGCTTTTTTTACAGTGGTATTTTGGTGTTCTGTATCTTTGCAAAGGATTTTTTTTATTTAAACATTAATAGATTGTTTGCCAAGAAACACATAAATAAACTGAATGAAAGACTATGTATCATTTCTGTGAGACAAACGAGCAAATACACGTGCTCTCACATAAACAAGGATGAGGACAGTCAGTGTGCCTATGCGTACAAACATATACACGTGCAAGTGGAAATTAAGCCTATGTAGAAGTATGACATTTGCATTGAGCTAAAAACTTAAAAAAGGATATTTTGGGATAATTAATAATTTTTTATATTGTTTTAAAAAAGAATTTTAAAACATAACACTTTAGTCATCTGCTTTAGTTACTTATATTTCTTACTGGGATTTTTATTTTACATTTCTTTTTAGTTGATATATTCTATGAAAACAGAATTAACAGTGTACAGAAAAAAGTAAATATATTATAAATAATAAATAACTACTTTATTTACTTGCATTGGCAGTCAAATTACTGTCATTCAAGCAAATATACAAAACTCCAAGTAGAAAGCTGTGTGTGTACTGTACACAAACACACACAACTTTTTCTTTAGCGGCTGTACAATGTATATATGCACATTATACATTTATTTTTTAAATATTGTTCCCTTTTATTCTCTACCAGCAATTACTTGTTTTTCATTCAAATATTTTATTCTAAACAGATTTATAATTGCAACTTTGTTACGTTACGGTTTCATTAAAAACATATATGCATACTGCTTTCATTAGTAATTCAAATCTGAGTTTTGAAATTCCGTAACATTCCTTTTAGCTACGGAAAAATCCAATTTAATCGTTTGCACATACTACCAAAATGTCAACTGAACCCTTGTCATCCACACTTTATCTTACAATAGATCATGGAATTTATTTACTGTAATCAGTAATACAAATTTCTTTTCTTAATGAAATTTTTTTTTTTAAATTGTCCAAACATTTTTGGCAAAAGTCAAATCACGTAAAAAAAAATGAACGATGCATTTGAACTGAATAGATAATTTTCAGCAATTTTATTTTTTAAGTGGATTATTTATACAACGAGCTTATAATTTTTAATGCTTTTATTGAATTATATTTAGTTTTAAAAATATTTACACATTCATTTTTAGTCAAACTAAAAGCTTTTTTTTTGCAATAAAATAAAGTAGCCGTTATAAGGATTTAAATATAATTACAGTGAAAATAAAGTACATGCGCCTATATATTAGAATGGAAGAAAACAATATGAATAAAAATGTGTGCGCGTTATTGCGGAAGAACTTAAAAATAATTATTAGTGAAGTTTTTTTTTTGTTTTTCTCTTTATTCTAACATTTTCTTTCAGTTTATAATTGTGCATCAATTAAATATCAATATTTTTTCCTTAAGAGACATTCAGTTTAAAATTTAGATATTGCAGCAAAATCACTACATCTTTTGCTATGAAGAAAAAGATTAAAAAAAAAAATCTAATTTCACACACTATGTACATTGAACCCAAATACATTAATTATTTCTGACCGGGCAAACCCTATCCTTACTGGACGTGCACACAGTAATAATATGCGAATTTGAAAGTGTAAATTATTTTTGATCTCTCCTAGTTATCTTCGACCGTCAAGTGGTTGAAATGTAAATTAAAATCTATGATTCAATCAACTTTTAGATTAGAAAGCATTTGTATAAACCTTAGAGCCTAACTTAAACCAGTTTTATGCTATTTTTAAAAAGATAGTTTAGCGATGTTACGAATCCATAAAGTAAAATTATTAAAAATAAAATCAAAATAGATTTTGGTATCAGAAAAATATCAAGTGTTCATTATCAACAATTTCGTACATAAAAAAAAATTCCACGTCCAAATTGTAGTTGTAACGGAAAGTAAAAATATAAAAACTACTGAGATGCGATTTTTAAAAATTCAGATATAAACCTTCATTAGTTGATAAAATTCGATTTCAACATT